ACCTAGATGGTCATATTTGAAACGAGAAATGTCCTGATGACAGTAGACGCATCATGCCGTTTGTTGCTTCTGTTCTTTTCTGGTTCCTGGCAGGAAAGTATGCTTTGGAGAACTCTTCGATAGTTTCTCGTGTGCCGCTTTAGATATTTTTTAGTAGATATCCCTTATCTTTGAAAGCTAGGACGTGTAGTAATTGATTTCCCATGCGTGGTTGCTTCTTGGTTGAGACAGAACTTTGATCGGATCGAAAGCATTTTATATTTGTTCTTATATTTCTTTCAATACATGTTCTTTTCAAGGTTTTCATTTCCATAGTTTTTTGTAAGATGAGTCGAAGCGTCGTAGCTGAAATGTGATCTTGACTATGATCAATTTACTGCGGCAACTATTTATTTCACACTGGGTCTGGCCCAACTATATAATATTCCAGACCCGGGGGGTTACTTTAGGAATTTCTGGGTGGGGATGTGCCGCTGGGACCCTGGACCCCTTAACCTATACCAGAGCTAGTTCAGCTGAATTTTGCTACCCTATACTAGAGTAAACTCGCCAAATCCCCCTATCCTAGAGTAGCTGTGTACCTAGGCTAGATAAAATCTTCAACCAACTGATCAGTTTCCTGAAAAATGATACCCTATTCTAGAACGAAACGCTCTGATTTATATACCCTATCCTAGAGTAAACTGCTTGAAAACCATACCCTTCACAGCGGCACATACCTATATAGCCCATATATGACAGTACCCCCCGATTCCAGATCATTGTCTTGTGGCGATACTAGTATTATTACCGAGCGATTGTCAGAAATTTCTGAATCAGTCAAGGATGTGTCTGTATAATTGATTCACCACCTTTTGTCAGTGCTGGTTGAATTGAAATAAATAAGTCTGAGTGCGATGTCATTAAGCTATGTTACTTTCCTTTCGCTGTAGCGATTATTTTTTTTCAGGTTTTGTTTATGTCACGTACTACCGTATTTTACAAAGCCAAACCAAAGGCCCACATCACATACATAGCTTAAAAAGCAGTTGCTTCATAAAGAAGTCAGCATTCAACGTCGCAGGAAACCTTGTTATGGTCGTGAAATTCACGTTCCAAAGCGTATTTGGTAACTCTCGTCGAAATCCAAGACACTTCAGCTCACGAGGTCGCGAGGAGTCACTCGAGCTGTATTCTATCCTTTGATCTGATTGGCCAACATCAAAACAAAAGGTTTTACGCCACGGAAATCGTCTTTTGCGGATTCGCAGACGGTATTTTTCGGAGGAGAGAAGCGACGACCGAAAATGCGTCTGCTGTTCGCAAGCTAGCTAGTTTATAGTCCACGGTTATTCCATGTTTAGCCCACACTTATAGCAAACGCTGAGTTTTCGAGTAGTATCGTCTATTTGTAGGATTTGTAAAACTTAATTGTAGTTCTCTGAAGTAGGCATGTTCGGGGATTATAGCTCAAGTTCCTATTTTGAATGCTATTCCCTACCGAGCAGTTTTACCGCTAGTATTTTTCACTGGTTCTTTGGGTCTTATCAATGACGACAGTGTAGCAGTTCTGTTCGCCGCAAGTTAGGCCACAGGATATGCAATGGAAAATTCTCATGGTTTGCTAACCCAAACACGTATGCAATTTGGTTATTTAAGTCGCTGGTGATGGGCTTGTTAGTGGGAGTTGAAGTTGAAGACGTTCAGTAGAAGTCAGAAGCAGTTTCTGCAAAAAGAATAAAAAGCTGTGGAGGAATATAGAGTCTCGACTTGGTATACCTCTCGTTAATTGGCTTAGCGAGGATTCCAGTCTCATACGACTCCCAACACAAGGCTAGAAACTCACAAAAGACCATTGTCTTCTCCTTGAAATGCCTCTAAATCGTTACTGACCTTAAAGAATGCATCAGTGCACATACTAGCATAATTTTTAACAATTATTCCTCGAGCCCGAATGGGCTCTGAGTCAATAGCCCATGAGGCCGAAAGCCAACTAGTTGGCCAAAAATATCGAGACAAAACAACTTTAGCTAGCGAAAAGCGATTCAGCCGCCATTGTTTTTGTTTTCAAAGCCGGTGTTTTTCGCTACTAGTGGGCTATAACATATAGCCTTGTAGTAGCTCAACCAATCAGAACGCGGCATTGATAATAGACCACTAGTTGGATTTTACTAAATGGGAATACACAGGGCAACCAATTGCCTTGAGAACATCATGTAACCCTCATTCCGAAAACCAACGAGATAAAGATTATATTTGTCGAGGGATGCACTAAGCTAGACCACATTGTTTACAGAAACGCCAACAAGAGCACCTTAGTGCATTCTAATGATATCCTTCTTTCTCACAATCGGCTAGAGTTATGCTAACCCTAAAAAACTCATCCCAAAAAGCATTCAACTTACATACGAACATACATTCGCCGAGCGTAGACCTCGCTATAACGACACCCCGATAAAAACGGGCAGCAGCTTCATTCCCCGAAAAAAGTACTACTGACTTTGGACCTAACAAACTCCTGTTATTGAGCACAATCGCTATTACGGGCTTTCAGGCACTCTTTTCGGTCTCAATAGCAAAATTCGATTCTCTTAAATGTCTTTGGAATGGACACCAAGCGCCATCTGTAAACTTTTATACACCGATGAAAAATGTATTTTTCCATGCTTTATCACTAAAAATCTCTATTCGTCTCTTTGGTTGGCCGATGTTAGATATTCTGTAGCGCATCATATTCAATCATAATTCTTTCCTCAAGAAGTCGTTGGTACCAATTTTGTGGACCAGTGCTTTGTCTTGCGAGTGACAATTTCTCTTTTTTGTTTTTTGCGCGAATGAGGTTGACGTGTTCGTTGTAGTCTCAAAATTAAGGCCTATTGCTAAGCATAATTGATGTGAAGTCGCAAACGTTCCACTATTTATGCCAGTATTCAATATTTACTAGGACGTTTACCGCGAAACGGGGTTGAAGTATTTTCTTCCCCCTGTTCTTTATGATCTGGTTCAACCGGCTTCTGCAGTCAATAACTATAATACCAAGTATGCCACTAATGAAAACTTGTACAGACCATCCTCCAGAACTAATTATGGCCTTGCAAGATTTAGAAATGCCTCCCTTGTGATTCTTTTTAAAGAGATTATAAACTCTTACTGCTTGATAGTCAGTGAATAACATTCATCTAGTCATCTACCTTTGCTACCTTTCTAATAAATTAATTTATTAAGTTTTTATATAGCAACTTTTAAATTGTCAACATCTTTCTATACTCTCTCCCTGTAATAATAGATAAGTAAATTGTACGAGCTCTGAGACTAGTTTTGCAGATGAAACCGTCTTCCATTAGTAACTGCACCGTGGTAATGGCCAACGCGAAAGCTTTGCTCCTTTGGACACTACACCCTTTCCAATGTAATATTTAGTTTAACCAGAAACTCATAAGGGGCTGAAACGTGTAACTCGCGTTCAATGCTCGTGAGTATTCACTTTTACCATATTTGGAAACCTTAGTGACAGATATCCATTTTCAACAAATGGCTGCCGCGCGATCACCATGCAGATTTTTTAAGACAAGAGTTCTGCGTTTCAAGGTTAAAAATACACCGTTTAAGGACAAAAAAGTGCTCAGCTTTCTTTTTGTGGAGGAAGAGAAGCTCAGTTTCATCAGTTTTCTTCTCGACGGAGCGCATGGTCTGTTTTGAAATGCAACCAAGGTAGTGAAGTTTTTGCTGAATTTTCAGGTACATTTTGCACTCTATGGCCAAGACAATTACGTTTTTGAAAGGCAATTTATGTACATTTTTAAATGTTTCATACACGTTTTATAAATTTTTCTCTTCGGCGCTAAAGAAAAATTACAAAATGTGCCCCGACTTGAGATGGATTTTGTGTTGAATTTTGCCATGTGCTCAGTTCATTCTTGCGTGAACGGATCCACGATCGAGATAGTGTTTTCCGAACTGTTTTAAAGGATTAACTTTTTGGATTTTGAATAAAAATTTTCAAGAAACGGCTTCTCTGTCTATTGTTTTGAGTTTGTTTACTCAAAATTAGCTCAAAACACGATCGTGACTACAACATCGAAGCTGAATTTTAGCTTAATGCTTCTCACATTCATTACACGCATCACTTTTTGCGAAGATGTGAGGTTCAACTTTTGGACACTTTTCGATACGCAGCTAATCAATTGTATTCGAAAATATTTTTTACTGTTTATTCTAGACTTTTAATATAAGTATTTTAAAAGCCTATTTGCATTATAAGTTTACTGTGCAGAGGGTCAACGAGGCATCGTTTTTTGAAGTGACAACTTCAACAAGTTGCGAGGACGTCAAAGGGTTTCATAATGTTACGTTTGGCCCGGGTGGTAAGGCAACAATATCCTGCTCAGTGTTTCGGTAAGATTCCTGGTTTCAACCTTTGAAAGCCTTCTCGACTTTCGGGAGTTTTTCCCCCGTTTGTCGGCCATTTTTTTAAGCGGGCGCGGGAACCTGAAGTGAAATTATGTCACGTTGTTTACGAAGTTTGATTGGTCAGTCATCTCTTCTTCTCGTTCCAAATATGGAACTTTCGAAAATGAGTAATCACGAGCATCGGACAAAGCAAACATCTGAGAGTTGTACGTTTCAACCACGTATGAGTTTCTGGTGTAACATGTATACTAGCTCTGATTTCCCTCTTTTGTTAGTTCCTATTATTATTGTACCCGTGTACTTTTTTTTTGAATAAGTGTAAATAAACTGAACTTGAACTTGAATTTGAAGATTAGCAATTTATTGCCTTGTAACCGCAAAATGAAATTGATCAAGACCCAGAGAGAGCCCAACCCTAGGGGAGCTTTGGGGAAAAGGTCTAAAGACTTGTTTACTTTGTTTCGTTTACATGAAAGTACAAATTATATTAACAACGTACATTTGTGTAAGTATGTAAACAAATTTGTGTGAAGTTATTGTGCATTATAAGTATTTTGTAAAAAAAATTTAAAAAATATCTATGACTTTCTTCTTGTTGATTTTCAGGCGTTGTAAGTGCCTTTGTCAGACTTCTTATTTCTTTGAATACCCAAGATTTAAGCGATGAACAGCAAGAAATAATAGTTAAAGATTTAGAACATCGGGTGCAGGTGTACCAAAAATTCCATGACGTTTCGACACCTGATAGTATAAGAGCCTTTACTGAATATTTGGAAAAGGCTTTCAATGTGGCCATATTGATGGTGGAATCTGGATCGTTGATAATAACAGTGCAATGCCCCAACCTAGAGAGTCTTGAAAGTCTGTGGAATGACTATCAATCTGGTCACCTTAATGACATCGCTGAGACGTTCCTGGTGACTGATGAACTGAAGAGAAAACTCCGGATGGACAATATCAATTTGAAGACAACTATAGAAGAAGAAAACTACTTGATTTGTAAGATGGCTTTCATGGAAATTTCAGGTGAGCTGGACAATCTTAAAGCAAACCTAATTGACCGCCCGTGGGTGAAATGTTTTGCCAGGACTTTTTTACTCGCGGCCCCGTAGGTGTGGTAGAGCACTGAGTGCAATAATTCAGCCAAGTGTTACCACTTTGGCAGTTTACAATGATAACTTTGTAATTCTACCAGTCCGTAGAATTCCATGTACCACCTTAGTAGTAAATAAACGGGGCATTCATAGACTAGTGGAGGTCATGCAACAACAACAAATATTGACGAATGCACTTCCTTAGTAGGAACGATTGGGATTGGAGGATACCTCTTGAAGTACTCGTCACTCATGTTTACTTTATTTTATTGAATTCGCCAAGGTAACTCAACACGGTGACAGGGGATAAAACAGGACTAACTTCCCAATTGATATTAACCCTTTCATTACCCACCCAGCCCATGAAAGGTTGTACCACACATGCAACCAGGGTGTACGCCCGTACTCTTTACGAACAGCAGTGTGGGTCCTCTTACGTCCCACAAGAATCAAAGCATTGAAAGAGCTGTGAAAGGAGGCCTTGCGAACATCATTTTTTAACAAGCAATAAAGCATTCCCCAAAGGTGTCCGCTTAAAACAAGTATTAATGGCCGTTGTAACTTGTATACTATTGTTGGTGATACTATCGTTTTTTATTACTAGGGGTAGCAACTATCAACAAATCTTCATCTCAAACAGTTGATTCAGGTCAGGTAGAAGATCCAAGGTTGGATGGAACAAAGTCAGATGTTGTGAAGGTAAGAATATTTTCTTTTAGGAACTTGCGAAACGGGCGATGTTATAAGGCAGTTATGTAACAAGGTGGTCAATTTTAGATCCAAACGTTTTTATCAAGAAATTATGTATAGTGTTTGCGCCTTGTATTTATAATCGTAACCTGAAAAAGCGCCGTTATGGATTACTGAAAACAAAATGGTGAATAGGGAGAGTTGCTAGTTAGTTTTAAGGAATTGTACCAAACAAAAACAGTCAAACCCCGTCAATACGAACACTGAGGCGGCCATAGAAAGTGCCTGTAATAACAGGGTGTCCGTATGAAGCGGGTTGAATTTAGAGAAAATTTTAGTGCTTTCTTTCCCCAGGGACAAAGCAAACTGTCCGTAATAATAAGGTGTCCCTATTAAGCGGGTGTCCGTAAAGCGGGATTTGACTGTACTAGTAGTAAGACATTTAATACCGTTTTATTTATTTCGGTTATTGATTTATTTTCGTTCATTGATTTATTTATTTTTATCATCCTAGCCAAACGCAACTAGTTTTTATTGCTTCCTGCAGATCAGCCCGTTGCCGCGTCTCGATTGGAGACCTTCTGATTCTGGCTCAGAATCACCAAAAGAGCGCGAAGAAGAAAGCACGGTAGGTTAGGTCCGGTTCAAACGTCGAATTTCACATGTGCCGAACTAAACGCGAGAGTTAAATGCATGTGAAGTGCGACGTTTGAATCAATTAAATTCGACCGTTTATATTAAATGCGACGTTTGCCGTATCTGCGACTGAAACAGTCGAAGATTCGACTTAGGTTCGACTTTTGATTCAAACGTCGCATTTCACCGAGCCGAGCCGAGCTTAATGCATGAATTTTAGAAAATTATTATTACATTACTGGGAATATTGACGGCGAACAGAGTTAAATTCGACGTTTGAATCAAATGCCGTATTTAACTATTTCAGTCGACTAAACTAAGAATTAATTTTGACACATGTGAAATTCGACGTTTGAACTGGGCCTTAAGAACGTTTTTGAAGGTTGTACTGTTGTAAACTATGTAACTGTTACCATGTGTCTGTTACAAAGAGTGTGCTTCTAGATTCGCTCGTATAAAGGGGAACTATTATTATATCTCAAGTATGTCTAATGCCGTCACTGAAAACCTCTTGTCGGTAAGATTTGGTGAGAATGTTTTTACCTCTTGCTTAAAGAATAATTAATATGCTTTTAATAATTAAAACGTTTTAGTCCCCGTGGGACACCGATCTATGAACAGTTTATAAGGCAAAATTTTGGCTGTGCTACATCTTTAAAAACGCTCATATTTCGTCCTTTTTAGAGGCGATTTAGATGAAACTTTACAGAGGCATTGTGGAATGATGGAAGTTTAGTGTGGTTGTTTTTTTATTTGCTAGTTCGCGCCTTAAGGCAATGCTTTAAGCTAGAGTTACACCAACTGGAAAATTGTGATTTTGTGTCCAAGTTTGCGTAAAGAATAGAAGACAGCACTCTGAGATTTTATCAATAAATGATCAGTCAAACCCTCTAGTGTGTCAAGTATAGAACAGATTTTACAATTTAAAGATTGCTTGCAAGATATAATCGTTTAATTGAGCAAAATCTCTCATTCCTGAAATTAACGCCTGATATCTCTTTATAAAAGCACTCGTTTAGAATTCCGCTCTATATATTTTTTTCCTTATTATTGAATGATTGATTACGAACTACTTAAATAACATATACATTACCACATCTATATCAATAAAGAACTACTACAAATACACAAGACACTACCTACATATAGTACTAATGCAACTATTACTACTATTACAAACACAAGAAGCGAGATGTATTTTATTCCCACCACCACGGCAGAATAACTGAGATTTTTTCCATTTACATTCTCAGTCGGCTGCTTTGTTATTTTGTTTCTTTTCTGACTGGTGAACATGACTGACTTTATTTTAAAAAAATTGCAAAGGAAGGATAAGTGCATTAATTACGACATTGATAAAATATGTCGCTTAGTTACGACTAACATGTGATTAATAAACAAGTAATATTCTTTCCTTTTCCAAAATCCAAAAGTATCTCGCTGTTTGAAAGGTCCCTTAAGATTATGTTCAGTTTATTACATCAACATATAATGAACAAGACGCTACGGAGCGTACACTTCGGCGTCGTGGTTGTGGAACTGATTAATTGTAAATGCGGAGGAATAGTAAGAAATGAAATATGGTAAGAGTAAGGTGTTAATTTGTGAAATTATGGGATTTGTCAGGATATTCTGAAAAGAGCAACATCCAAGAGGCCTACTTGCCAAAAACTAGCATTTCAGGACAAATTGTCTATGAGCTATTAGCCCAGTTATGCTCTGATGACTCCATACAAATCTTTCTAAATTTGACCTAAGTCAAATATGAGGCTACTGGCGGTGAATAACAAGTCTAACAAAACAAACAGTGAAAAAAGAATTCTCTATTTTTCTTAGTCACATCAGGCTTCAAAAATAGCATAGCAGTCTCATGTAGTGATTAAAGATATGTAAGGCATGGGTAAGGAGTCAATTACGTTGAGCATGGAATTGGCTGTTACGAATTCGAATGTTTTGAGGATAATTATTAACTGACTATCAGCACGCAGGAATGTCGGATTAACACAAGGAAGTTTAATACCAAAGGAACATAGCCTTTTCAGAGCTTTAAAACACAGCATCCGCCAACACAAACTTGACTTGAACTTAAGTACAACTGAACAGCCTCTACCAATAACAACAAACTCTCACTTGAACTTCAGATATCTTACGGCTTCCGCCAACTTGTAAACACAGAACTTGAAAATCGACCTTCGTCACACGTCCAGCTCGTGGGAAAAAAACTTAGTTCGTCAAAAGACCTCCCTTGGAACTTGTATACCGTTTGACATAACGTTCTAGAAAATACTAAACGGGCGAATAGTAGTAGCTTTTCGACATATTTTATGATTTCAGTAACTGATGCAAATCTGCTGACTCATGCTGAAATGTAAACATCCCCTAATTAATTATTCATGAATAATCCAAGAAAGTAGAGAACGTTCGAGAAAGTCATGCAACACATGAAGCAATTTTACTACGTAACACTCAACAAAGAGAAAATGTCTTTGTGCAGCATTTTTTAAATTCATCATGAAGTAGTTCGAAAGGAGGGCTCACTCGTGAAATGTTTTTAAACACTCGAAGAGAAATTTCGTGTCTCGGCGAGGCCACGTAATATCCTCTATTTATCCCTCGAGTAAATTAAAGACTTAACTCGAAGTGATCTCAAGATATCACAAAGTAGTCCGGTTTCATTTCGTGAAATAGCCGAAACAAGCCGAAAAGTCGCGAACTTGTACGCCCAATCTTGTCCCGAAACTACAGTGGAACCCCGTTAATACGACCACCTTCGGGCCATGGAAATTTGGTCGTATTAACGGGGTGGTCGTATTAACGGTGTAGGGTCAAATTATAGTGCAAACTGCTTTCAAACTACATTCTACTACATGTATACCTTTAATTCGTTATAAATCAACCTTTTTGCAGTTAATTAACAACCTTGCAACCGCAATTCAATGCAACTGAACAATGTAACGGTAAACGAAACCGAGTAATGAGAAAAAACACTGACTTCTTTCAGTTCCTTGTTATGAAAGGAAAGGGCTTGTGATTTGTCTCGAAGAGCCGTTTTCTATATTGTAGCTTACAACACTTTCACAGTTATTATAAAGTTCAAAGTTCTGGGAGAAAAGGAAATGGACTTGAAGAGAAAAGCCACAAACCGGATGTCATGCTAACCACTAACCGTGCTTTGCCTAAAAACATTCAGTAAAATATTAGTAATGGGTTATTGTTTGTCAGATTGTGTCTATTTTCATTCAGCAGCCCCACCAAGCATTTTGACTGGTCGTATTAACGGGGTAATTTTATAAAGAAAATAACGACTCAGGACCCCCAAAGGTGGTCGTTGGTCGTAATAACGGGGTTGTCGGATTAACGGGGTTTTCAGATAAAAAAATGAGTGGGCTTTTGTTCGGGCAACAAAAAAGAGGTCGCAATAACGGGGTGGTCGTATGGCGGGGTTCCCCTGTAGTGCATAATTTCATAACTATTTTTCATATCCCGAACTACCTTGGGTCACAGTAGCGCAATTGGCTAATCTCTCAACTAAGAGTCCCCGCTGCCCTGACGGGTCACACAGGTGAGTTGGTTCAAACCCCGGGGAAGCCAAAATAATAATTATTTCTTCCTCGAAAGAGTTAAAGAAATCGAAGTGATCTCAAGATATCTCTAACTAATTCGGCTCTCACTTCGTCGAATAGCCGAATAAAACCGAAAACCTGCAGACTTTGCATGCCCAATCTTGTCAAAAAATGGTAATTTTGATACATTCCTGAGCGTCGCGAATCCTTTACTTCGCGCTCCGCCGAAGTAACAAGACGCTATCGAAGCGTACACTTAGGCGTCGTTGTTAGGAGGATTTTTGGTGTGTAAGGCACGTGTGAGGGCCGTAGTGTTGTTAATCGGGTTAGTTGAGATGGGTTGAAATAGAGATGTGGAGTCATAGTGTACGTTTCTTGGTATGTAAATACAGTCGAACCTCCACTAAAGGAAAATGTTTCTATTTTCAATACTGTGAGAGATGGTTGCATCGCTATCATAACGGCTCAGTCAATTCCAAGCGTGTCCCTTCCCCCAAAGGCATCATTCAAGTGCTGGCATCTCCTTTGGCTCTCGACATCTGAGCTAGAGCAAACAAACCCCCGTCTATAGCCTAAACCATCAATTTCAATCACTCTTGCGAGATTTACCTGCAATTATCGGAAGAAATCGCTTCCTCCAAACTGTAAAGTATCCCTGTGTACGTGTTGCTTTAAAATGTCGAAAATGCTTCGCTATAATTTCGACTTAAGTTAAACTTATCAAAAAAACAGTTCTAAAACAGTAACAATTCTTAACTAAGGGGTAATTTTGGAGCACAATATAGTTCCAGTTTTTGTGTTTTTCATTTATTTTATTATTAC